TTAAACCTGCTGCAGCGGGTGAGTCTGTGTATCGCCTTACTGCAACCAGCTGACGTTTCTTCCCGAAAAATGAGTGCAGTTTGTCCCTCTGGACACGTATGCTGCTTCAGGCTGAGCTGAAGGTCAACACGAGAGACACGCTGCAGCTGAACTCCCTCGAGACGTTTTCGGCCAAAGTGCTCATGGGAGATTTTAATGCCACTATTAAATGTATTTTCTACACTTTTTTGGTATTAAGTTATTTTACAACTAAAATGTTTTCATGTTTTACACTCGTGAACCTAAAGACTGAGAGAGCAGCCGATGACTGATCCAGGTGACATGGATGGATTACATAACACCTCTTAGGTATTCTGGTCTCCATGGGGACAGGAAAAGTGATCAGATGTGGTGTTGTACCTGAGTGTAACCTTACTGAGGACCCTTGGCAACAGTGTTTATGGGAGTGTGTTGTACAGACTGTGAATAATGTATGAGGACTTGTGCGTCTGCACTTTGGGATTCTGTTTTGATACGCAGGTGAAACAGGCCGGACAATAAAATGTGAATGCTTGAGAACCACTTGAGACACAAATGATCTGAACTGTTGCAGAAATGGAATAAAAACAAAAGGGGAAAAAAAGTGTTTGTGTGATTTGGTGTCAGTTAAAGAGCAGCATGCAGACAGATAGCCTGTTATTTTCAGAAATGTAAACCAGGGGAGATCGCTTTTTGAGCCCTGAGATTTGATGAAGATCAACAGCGAATATTCAAAGCTTTGCCTGACTGCACAGCAGGAGGTGGGGGTCAGGTCTTATGCTGCTTACAAAGTTAGAAGGAACACGATGTCTCCTGGTGAACTATAGCTGAGTGGTGAGGGGTACAGATGGGGAGGGGTGCCTCTTTCTGACCTGAAGCAAGTTCCTATAGATTTTCAGTTTGGTGCTTATTTAAACAAAAAAAGAAAAAAAAAGTCAATAACTCTCAGCCAATAACTGAGGCTTAGACTATGAAGCAGGTTCAACATAAAAAGTCAGGCCTTCTTTGCATTTAATTCCCCAACTTAACATAAAACTCAAGTCAGATTTAAGAGAAATCACACTGGTTAGCAGCTTGAACTCTTTCTGTATCAGGCTCTGGCAGTAAAGGAGCATTTAATGCATCATTTGACTCTTCCTCCATACAATCTGGGTCGATTGCGCACCGCCTACTTCGGTCAGAGATATTATCAGATAGAGTAAGCTAGAAAAGAAATCCACTCTGATGTTAAAAACAAGTCAAGAGTTGGTGATGCTGCAGAAAATTGTAACTTTTTGTCTCCATGAGTGGACGTACATATTTATATCTAGAAAACTGGATACATTTAAGTATCAGTCCATTCATGTCTGACAGTCGTAGAGGCCAATGACAGAGACCCGCAAATTAGTTTGTGGTCAGATCACAGAGAAATTAATCAGATTTTATCTACTCTGCATACAGACTGATTAATTTTCTAATGTCTGATCTATTAGCCATAATTCCAGCAGTGGAAAATTTAATTTGGGTACACTAGGACCAACTGAATGAATGTCTATTCTTCTAAATATGTGGTGCTTTTTGCACTGGTGTAACTTTGCTGCACAATGCTTTGTTTCTCTCCGGTAGTTAATTACTCCAGTTAGAGATTGTAGTGGAGAAAATCAGTGAAAATGTTGAGCTACAGAAGAGTTTAAACCAAAGCCCTGAACATAATTTGCTCAGGACCAGGTTCTGAGTTTAGCATTAGTTACCATGATGATGTAAGGGTAAGACGGCAGTCGCCTTCATCACAGTGAAACCCCGTTGTATCTCGCTAACCCCCAAAAGTTGATTCTGATTCTGATTCATCTGGACGTAGCGTTTTCAGTGGGAGAAACATTTTGTCACTCATGCAAGTGACTTCTTCAGTGTCAGCTGACTGCAGGTTTCCCCAACCTTAGAAACAGTACATTTACATAATGACTGAAACCAGCCCACTGAAGGAACAAAGGGCTGTGAGGTCAGTTTCTTCATCATAATTATGCAAAGTC